TTGGTGCATTCCCAAGACATATACAGTGCAACGGGATTTCGAAGTAAAATCCGCGTGGCGATTGATCAATCAATGGCAAAGTTGGTGGAGCCATGCGCATAATTTTTTCAAGGTATATCATACAAATGCTTATATGTCGTGCCATACTGATCTTCTGACACTCTACTCCGGTGGCTTCGCTAGGTGATTGACTACTAAAAACGTTCACAACTAGTAGGTGAAACATTAGTTTCTGACACCACAACAATCGTCGCGACGCGGTTGCAAACTAGACACCTAAGGTCTTACTTATCCTAAATAAAAGGTGGATTTGGCCAAATTGGCCCAATGAGATCACTGGCAAGCAAGGGATAGTGAACGCTATATGCGGCCACCAAACTGGAATCAGAAATAAGTCCGCCGAGCAAATCCTGGCCCCAGGGGATGCGGTCAGGAGAGCAGGGCCTGATCAGCAGGCGCACCGTTCACCGTGTGGAATATAATAATCTCGGGCATCCTTGCAGTTTCACTTGTGGTGCATCGTTTTCTTTCGAGAATTAAGTCACGTGTCAAAGCGCTCACTTTTCTCTGCCTCTCGCGATCTGTCATATACGCCAATACCTGTTCTCAACACTGGTAGCAGCACTATTATTACGCCAATAGGTCGCAGATTCTTTACTTAGGTGCCCATGACCAAAACGTAGCAGATCTCATTTACATTCGGAGGGTTGCTATGTTTGGTGTGCGTTCGTTGGTTCATAATTGACGGATTCTAAGGGGTTTGCACAACCAACTACGACACATTCAGTTTTCAATATCCCACTGAGTCTCAACTTCGCGCGCTACACAACTTAGACTCTTCCCATGGCAATTTAACCGATACCCATAGGCGTGTAATCGTTAACGATTTCCTTTTTCGTTGCAAAGGCGGCAAAGTGGCTCATGGCACATTTTACCGAGCTCGCCGAGTATTATGGCTGTCATTGGCACGGTATCAAGCGCATTGGGGACCGCTACAGGGAGAGTGTAACACTTGGAATCGCCGATGGGGCACCTAAATGTAGAATCAAAGGAAACTTAGGGCGGACGCCGTACAACCGCTCCGAACTGACAGCAAAGCCCAAGCCAGAAACATCGTCTTGGGGACGAATCGCTTTGCTTCGGCGGTGACACTCTGGCAGTTCTTCGTCGGGGAGAATCAAGAAGGTACGCTCATCGATGTTCTCGTTAAGCCACTTTTCATCTATGTGAACCATACCGTACATGCTTTCGAACTGATACGTCTGCTCATTGATGAAGATGAGAGTGTGCTTTATGCGCTGCATTTTGTTGTCGTAAGCTGAAGCTTTATACGTCTTGAACGCTGTGTGAGGTATCCCTCATCAAGCAGCGTACGTATCAGCGACG